CGGCATCAAATACCAGTACCCTTCGGAATTGTTCCAAATTGGAACGCCACATTTTAGTTTGGAAGGCGTTGAATAATAACCTCCTCTCCACAATGGGCAGTAAACACTGGCTCCAGGGTTGCCGTTGTAAATTTGAGGGGGAAAAAATGGAACTTGTGCTGCTATCGGCTTAATAAAGGGTGTTTGCTTAATATGGCGTCCGCCTAATACCGGTTTGACTGTAAATAACTAGTTTTAGAATAGAAATGAGTCAAAATCCACATTTTGTGTACGTCTGTGTTCTTAGGACTTTAGTTATTACAAACATCTTCAATCATTCGTTGTACTTAGAAAATTCTTGAATCAGAGGATAGAAATTACTAACACAAAAGCAAGTTTTAAACTGACCAAAAGGGCGAATCTCCAAGGTTCCAGACCTCCAAACCGATTAAGATGACTTTCCCTCTCAACAAACAAAGCGAGTCCATGCGCCGAGCGATCTCCTGGCCTCAGTGGAGAGTGAGAAAGAAAAACCACTCCAGCATGGAAAAATATCCATGACTAGATAACATGGCCAGTAAAAAAAGTCATTTGGTGAGAAAATTGAGTAATGGTCGACTGCAGAAAACAACTGCAATTTGCACTCAGGCATGGTTTAGACTTTCAATTGTTAAAAGAATTAAAAAGTAATTGATTTTGTCTTTGAATCTACTTAGACCACACAGACAAGACATCTGCTTCCAACTCGGGTACGTTTTAAATGGAGCGTGGTCAGGATCTGCCTCAGGCTCCTGTCCCAATGGCAGTCCAAGCGGCGGAGTTTGGTTCACTGTCCGTGTTGAAGTCTCTTCAGACAAAAGCGTCAATATCTACCTCAACAATGATCTTGTGACGTCACTGACAGCTCATTTTAACGCAAAAGGCCGCGGAGGGGTGCTGGTTGCCAATGGATATCAGAATATAATCCTGTTTAGAGGATTTGACATAACCAAAAACGTGTAAATCTTTTTTCTATTATTTTTAGTCTATTCTGTCACATACCATTGACTACACTATAAACCAAACTACAGTAAACTGTACTAAAAAAGCAAGCTTGTGTAAGATGATCAAACGTGAATGAGGATGAATTCAAACGAAGCCAAACTTGAATACTGGGTTAGTAGCCGTAGGTTAGCTGAGAACTCAGTTACAGTGAAAACAGTTGTAGAATAATATGGAATATTATTATATGGCTGTGTCTCACGAGGACTGGGAACTACCGAATTCACGAATTTGATTGGCTGAAATCGATATTGACCGCGGTCTAGATTTTCCCA